TGCTGAGGTATGATCGAAGGGTAGAGCAATTATGAAATATTTCCTGTCTTTAACGGTTTTACTTGAGAGAATATTGATTCTATCGTTGTAAAATTCGGCATTTTCTTCGAATATGTCATCTATAATTTTATGATGAAGATCTTCTAATTTGTTTTGGCAGAAAAAAGTGAGGATGTATTTATGTGCTTTGTCTAAATGTTGCGAATTGTCGAATTTGATTTTTGAGTAGTCAATCAGGGATCGAGTTTCATATAAGTGACTGAAATTGTCGTATTCTTGTAAAATTTGTTCGAAGGGGGTTTCTTCCTGTTCTGGTGTTTCTTTGTTTTGTGTTTCTATGTCTCGTGTTTCTGTGTCTTGTGTTTCTGCGTCTGTTGGTTTGTTCGTTTCATCGATTTCGTTTGAAGCGAGTATCGTAAGTTTTCCGTGAAAATTTACACATTCTCTGAAGTGATTATTTTTTATCCGTGATAGGGCGTCGGCATTTTTGTTTATTTTGCCAGGTTTATACTCTATTTCGTAGTCGTACTCTTCTAATTTGAGTCTCCAACGTGCCAGCCTACTACCTGGGTCTTTTATTGAAAAAAGCCAAGTGAGGGGTCCATGGTCAGTGATGAGTTTGAACTTTCTTCCGAACAGGTATGGTCGAAAGTGTTTCACAGCCCATACAATCGCTAAAAGTTCTCTGTCAATCGTAGAGTACTTTGATTCAGCGTTGCATAGTGTTCTGGAGGCATATGCTATTGGAAGGTCTTTTCCTATCGGTCCTTGTGAAAGAACAGCTCCTATTGCAAATGCGCTAGCATCTGTCGTTAAGAGGAAAGGTTCTTCGAAGTTGGGGTAAATCAAAATTGGACTAGAGGTAAGGGCTAATTTTAATTCGTTGAATGATTTCAAACATTCTGAGTCGAATTTAAATGGGGTATCTTTTTGTAGTAATTTTGTGAGTGGTTTGGAAATTTTGGCAAAATTTGGTATGAAGCGTCGATAATAACCAGCTAAACCTAAAAAGGATTTGATTTCTTTTGGGTTTTTTTGTTGGGGGAATTCTTGGATGCATTCAACTTTGGAGGGGTTTGGTTTAACGCCGTTTTTCGTGATGACGTGTCCAAGATAAGCGACTTCTTTTTTTAAAAATTCGCATTTGTCAGGCTGAATTTTCAAGTTGGCTTTCCTTAGTCTTTTGAACACTTCTGTCAGTCTTGAAATATGTTCGTCGATCGTTGGTGAGTATATAATGATATCATCCATATATACAAGACAGCGCTCGTTTTGGATGCCAAGGAGGATGTTATCCATCACTCTTTGGAACGTGGATGGTGCGTTCTTTAATCCAAAAGGCATACGGGCAAATTCATAGTGACCGTTCTCAACAGAGAAGGCTGTTTTTGGAACGTCTTTTGGGTCGATTTCGATCTGGTGAAATCCTGACGCAAGATCGAGGGTGGTAAAATACTGACATTTTCCAAGCTGATCTAGCAGGTCGGAAATGTTGGGTAACGGATATTTATCGGCTACTGACAGTTCGTTCAGTTTTCGATAGTCAATCACAACACGCCATTTGGGTTTTCCTGAAGCATCTAGCTTTTTCGGTACTACCCAAACAGGGGATGACCATGGGGATGTCGAATGTTGAATGATACCTTGATTAAGCATTTTGGAAATTTGGGTTTAGACTTCTTCTTTGTGAATATGAGGGTATCTGTAAGATTTTGTAAACACGGGTTTGGCATTGTTAGTTTCGATTGTGTGTTCAATTTCATTTGTGAAGGTGAGATTGTCGCCTTCAAGATAAAATATGTCAAAAAATTCTAGGCATAATTCGGTTATCATTTGTTTTTCTTCGTGGTTTAAATGGTCAAGTCTGAGTTGGTTTTTTATCTCTTGAGTTCTGTCAATTTGTTCTAAATCATCGTGAGAGGTGTTAAAGTTCAAAATTGATTCAAAGTCTGTTATTGATTCGAGAATAAGGTCTGAAAAATCGATTGTTTTGGGGATTGCGTTGGCGTTTATGATGAATGTAAAAATTCACCATTTTTGTCAATTTTCACTAAAGCATTTGGTATTCTGACTTTATCTTTTTCTTGCGCTAACAGTATAGCGTCGGTATTTTTGAGGTTACTTTCGAGTTTGAATATTCTTTCTGTTCTGGGTTCAATTGAAATTTGGTTTGGTTTCGAATTTCTCAAAACCAATTGATGATCTCGATCTCCCTTGATATTTATAAAGATTTATATGCTGAGGTTACTTTGCCTCGGTCACCTTACTTAGATAAAATGCCTGATACGCATCTGTATTAGGCATATCTCGTAATCGTATTAGTTTTGACGTCTATGAACTTGGAATAAAAAATGATGGAATTGTGAATATTCAGGGTTTTCGTTTTGGAATATCAAAATTGAGTTTGAAACATCTTTCAATTCATGTATTTGCTTGAATGGATTTGAATTATTTCATGATGATTTTACATATTTGACAAAATCGTTACTTTGTTAAGTATATAATATGTCCAAGAATTCACCTCACTTCCTTTCATAATGACCTAACTGCACTCCTAACAACCTTGAATATCTCATACAATTAAAACTCAGATTATCTTCAAAATGATGCTCCCGTCCGATATTTATGAAAATGATGTTATTTTAAGTCGAAATTTTGAAAAAATACCATACAAAATGAATGTCGGAGTTAATGTATTGGTATTCCTTCTCAAACTGCTATGAATTTCGACACAAAATCACCAGAACTTGTTTAAAAATCCAACTTATCTCCCTCTTTCATAATGAACTCATCATCACACCTAACGACCTTGACTTATCGTACATATGAAACTCAAGTTATCTTACACATAAGAACTCTTCCGGTATCTATATCAAATGATGCTATTTTAATGGGAGTTTTGAAAAAACTACAACACGAAATGGATTTGCGAATATCGTAATTGAAATAAATGTCGTCTAATATCAATAATATCTATGATATAATATATATAATGATTTCTTGAATGAATTTAGGTTATAAAATACACGACCCTACAAATCACCAATCAACCTTCAATTTTGCATTCTGCTTAACTTATTTTTTAGATATTTGTGTTGTGGCACTTGAATTCTGCATTTCTTTTTCTTTTCTATTCATTTAACGTGCTGTACGTGACGATACGGTTTTTCCAATGATTTGGTTTTTGAATTTGAAATTATTTTTACGCTATTGCACCTTAGGCGCTTGATATTATATTTTTTATAGTTTTTGACGGTTTCGAAACCTTCTCACCATAAGGACTCCAAATATATCATATGTTTCAGTATACGATGATTTTTTCTTTACCGGATGTGTTTTTTCTGCATGAAACGTGAAGATATGTCAGAGGTGGATAATGAAATTTTCATATTTTTGGGCAGAGTCCCTAGGGTGCACACGCTCTGTGAATCTAGCCGATACTCATTCCACCTTTTAATCATATCATTTATCAATGAAAAGAGAAAATATATACAGCAAATTCAATTTATTGTGCAATTTATTTAACAATTCTATTGAACAAAAAACTGAAATCACAAAGAAATAACATACAAGCAACAACCAAAAAAAAATTGAAATATTAATACAAGTTGAAAATTGAAAAATATAATCAACAAGAAATATAAATTAAAAATTGAAAGATTCCAAACGAAGTTACGTCACGACGTTTCGATTGTTAGTATAAGTAGGTATCTGAAGACGATTGTGGAGGTTAAGATAAACTTATATTATATCAGACAATGGAAGTCCGAACAGATGAAATAAACCATGAAACATTGTCAACCACCTTCAAACAAACGTTTCTTTTTTGTGTTAAAGAGTTCAATTCATTTTTGGATTGTTCACAATCATTCTTCAGTTCTGCGTTTTCGGATTTTTTCATCGATTACGTCACACGTTTCTCTCTCAAACTTACTAAAGTCTCTCCGAAACACACCTACCTCGAGGTGTTCCACAAGGTTACGATCGGATATCATTGGAATTGCAAAAAATTTAGCGTCATAAAAAAATACATGGGATTTTGGCCTCTTACCGCACCTGTTCATCTACTCCAGAGGTTGAACGAAGGTATTTATCGGTACATCGAAAAAATAGTTCTGCGGTTCAAACAAGACGTACGAAATGAACTCGTTCCAAACTAATTTACCTCTGAAAGACGAGATAATAAAAAAGATTAAATGCCGAATGAATTGCGTGAAAGTAATGAAAGAATCTGGAATTTTCCGTCGTGAGACTTCATATAGTTGATACGTTCACTGAAATCCGTTCGTATCGAAATTCCTCGTTGGTAGTTCAGCTGGAAATTTTGCGAAGTTTACAATGATCGCTACGGAAATTATTCAAATTTTGGTTGTCATCACATGTTCGATCAGCAGTTTCGAGGTATTATACAGAAATTGCATTTTCTTGCTGATGCAAATAATAACTTTTCAGTTTTTTATGGTAATGATAATATTATATGAACTGATTAGAATTTGCTCTCATAGAATTGGTTCTGATAGTCTTATCGAATACTTTGATTCTATTTTTTCTGGGTATTCATCCGTTTATTCTTCAAAGGTTGACATTTCACCATCACTTCAGATGGCATTATCAAGAGTTGTAATCGCTTGTTTTTCCTAAGACGTAACTGTTTTTTCATTATGTGTACTGTCATACTCTCAAAGTTGAGATGGAAATAAATTGATACATCAATTTTATATTGTTTTCTCTAACTCTTCAATAGTTTTGGCTTCTATCGATATCGGGTTGAGTATATCTTGAGGCACATTTTGAACCAGTGTTACCCAGTTCAAGTTTTATACTTCCGAAGGGTTATGAAACTAAGAATGTATTGGAATCGAGTAGTGAACTTATACCACCCCATACGTTCTGCCAATCCCCGCCGTCAGCCTTAAGGCAATTAAACTGGGACATGTAGGCGATCTTATACAAAAACACTTCTCTACGGTGTGACGACGCCCTTATCTGGAAGTTACGCGTTATAGTAACTTGGGACCATTATTTACACGGGTGGCATCTGACTGCAGCACGCTACCGACGCCCACCGCCGCCTCGCCGTCCCCGATCTGGAAAGTTATACGAAGTGTAAACAGTTATAATCTGGAGCGACAAGAGGAATTCGCCCGGGATGGCTTTTCGGAATATGACTTGTACCGTTGGCATTCTGCGAGTAAGTGGCCCTTTGTGTAAAAGTTGACACGTCCACGTATCACGTACAAGGCGACGTTCGGATCGAGAATGCCATAAATAAAAACCCCACGGTTGTAAATTGCACATGCACGTTTTTTAGAGATTTTTCCAATTTTTTCTCTACAACAGTAAGCAGATAATGGAAGATTTTTCAAGAAAGGAAGGCAGAAATAACAAAAATCAATGAGAACTCTTGAGAATAATGTGTAGATTATTCAGTATTTTTTTCATATAAAGATAGCAGAACGAGTTTGAGGAAACTCTTTCCTATGGCTTGTGAGTTGTACTGAGTCACTATTATGAGAATTTGAATAGATACAATGCATTGAAAACTCTACAAAGTGCAATCAAGAATCACGTACACTCAAAGTGGAACCAGAGTTTTGGGTCAGAATATTAGTTTTCTACTGCTTATCGGCAGTTAATAGACCGCTTGTATGACAATTCACCAAGTTTTGCAATATTGTTGAGTTAGATCTCATCGGGGTGTGAATGATCTAGCCATTTCTTGTAAAAAATATGTTTGAGTCTTCCATGAATAACATGCCCTTGAAATAGGTTTTTCGTGTTTGTAATACTTGCATAATTGAAATTCATGGAATCGATGTTTTCAACTCAGTTACACAATCTTGAAATTGATTCTTGAAATAAAAATGCTAAAGCGAGAGAATAATTCATAACAAAGCTGTTGAGACTATTCAGTCCTCGTGAATATAAAAATGAATTTTTACCTAATTTATCGCGGGAATACAATGACAAATGAAATCCCACTCTCCACAAAAAGAGGATAGATGTTTTTGATTAAAAAAAACACTACGAGACCAACAAAATGTATATGGCTACGTGTGTGAAAACTCTCGCCGGTCAGCGTTTCCGAATTGAAAGTATAGCGTACTACACTGGACCTCGTCAAAGGGAGCCAAAAAACCAGTAGGCAACTCAGAGATGGCAGGTGTCCTCACCTCATCATCTGAGCCTACACATCCCTTAATTCCGGGAGAGGAGGGTGGAGGTGTCCTTAAGGACCCCCCATCTCCTTCCTCCTAGAGTTCGAGGAGTTTGCGGCAATACTTGTTAAATTCAATTATTTGCAGGCAAACTTACAACATGCCAAGGCCGCCTCATACGTCCTTGGAAAAAATTACAAAGATGAATTAGTCGACCTTGCCTTCCTGCAGAAATCATGGACAGGAAATACAGGCCAAGTAACCGGACGGAGCAATATTCCTGGTGAGGTAATAGCGTGCCCTGGGGTGGAACCCAGAGCATGTCTGGTCATCAGGAAAAGTATTAATTATTTTTTGCTTACAGGCTTCTGCACCCAACATGTGGTAGCCATCCAAATTTCCCTATCGGGCAAGAAGGGTAAGACGAATTTTATCGCCTGCTCCGCGTACTTTCGGGAGATTTGGATACTGTACCTTCTGTTGCTGTTAAACGACTCATCGACTATAGCAAGAGGAACAAACTACAAATAGTAATGGGATGTGTCGCATATTCACAGCATACAGCGTGGGGCAGCACGAATATATACCGTAGGGGTGAGTTACTCTTCAATTATATACTAGGGGAAGGGCTGTCTGTAATTAATGAGGGCTCGGATCCAACTTTTGTCACTAGTAATAGGCAAGAGGTATTAGACTTAACCATCAGCTCGCATTTTCTGAGCAACAAGATACACCATTGGTCTGTATCTACTGAACCTCCTTGTTCAGACCATAGATACATTATTTCCAATATTAAAACAGGCCTTAGACCAGTAGTGGAATATCGTGACTCAAAATCTACTGATTGAATGGGGTATAAAAACTCCCTCCAATCGTACTTTAACGAAGGATTCAGTACTATTCACAGTTGTAATGATATGGATACAGTAGCGACACAATTTCGCGAAGCAGTGATCTCATCCTATCATGAGAACTGTCCACTGAGGAACAAAAGCCTGGAAAGTTGAAGAAAATGAGTTCGACGACTATTCAATCGAGCTAAAGAATCAGGTAACTGGGAGCTTTATAAAACCACTCTGATGACATACAACAAGGACATTAGAAAGGCAAAACGGGAGTCTTGGAGGAAGTTGTTTTCACTACTCCCCCTTTGAATGTGGATGATCTGAAAATGAAAATTCGACTAGCTAAAAATTTGTGTAAAAGTCTGAACTATTAGACGAAATATATTTGAAGCGAATATGGCTTATTTTTACTCACTTCGTGACCCAAAGGACTACCGACTATGGGATGGTTTACTAGTGTTACGAAAAATAGAGGCCCCCAAAATAGGATGTAGGCAGCAGTTATGACTAGGAACATTTTTACACGTTGCACTCCATCTCGCTCCATCATCCTCAAGTATTCTCGCATTCTGCGGTGTTCTTCGAGAGCACCCGAGGCCTGAAACGGAAAAATATAACTTGATATTATCACTTAAATGAAATGAATGAAAAACACTTTCGTACAATTACCACTGGTAGATTTTATTTATACATCTTCAAGATAAATGAAGAAAACCTCAAAATCCTACATATATGTTTCGAAGGGAGAAAAATGAATTTGTTGGAGGCCATGGAAATTAACAAATCAATCAAAAACCGGAAACATATACCCCTAAACGAGCAACACGATTTATGAAGGTCTCCTCTCTTGAATTTATAAGTCTAATAACCCTTAGAATTTTCAGGGCGGAATGTTGAAAGTTGGCATCTTGGTTTGCTCAACTACTCTCGAATACCTGTCCCTGCAGCATACCTGAAAAGTCTAATATAAGCGATATTTCAAACTTCAGATTTCACTTTCATACTTGATAATGGGGTCAAAACCATAAAGAGAACAAGTCATCAGTCACAAAAATTGATATTATCAAGTTATAGCTCATTAAGCTTCTGCTTTGCACTCATCAAATTGCTAAAATGAAATATAACATGGAGGAAATTATGAAATGCAGATATTTTGAAATTCACCTCAACCTATCAAGTTTGAAATTGTTATTGTTTGAAAAAATGAATGCTTTATTCATTCTTTTATTTCTTCAAGATTTTCAATTGTTCATAAATATCTGCAATAGTTATTGTGATGTCTGCAAAAATTAACAACTTTTTTCTACATTCAGTCAGTCAGTGGGCATACTTGAAGCGACAGCTGATTAAAACAGATTTCAATCAGACAGAAATTAAGCGAGAATCTTTTCAAAACTCTTTGAAGAATAGCTTCAAAAAAGACTAGCTTCACTCTTGAAGGTTATCAAGATTTTCATGCAAACCTTTATTTCGGACAAAATTAACGAAATTGGAAGGAAGATTGACATGAAACTTTCTTGTCAGCTCATTATTATTTATTCAACTATTTAGCAAGCATCAATTTTTTTCATTCCCCAATATTCAAATTCCAATGGGTTGAAATATTTATTTTGTTGAAGCGAACGAATCGAGTATCGAATGCGCAAGCCGAACACAAACGCAGAAAATTTACTGAAAAAATGTCTGCTCTTCAAGGAGCTTTTTTCAAATTTTGAATATCTGCAATAGTTGTTGCGATGTCTGCAACAATGGACAACTTTCTTCTACATATAGTCAATCAGTAGGCATACTTGAAGACTGGCTATAAATCAAATCATCTAAAGGAACAATTCGTTCAGGCTAGTCTCAACTCCCTGCACTATAGTTTAATGGACTGACACCTATCAGAAAACAACGACTCCCCTGACTATTACAACGAATGGCGTTGTATTATTTCCGATAGGTGTCAGTGCAGGATTCTTCACTGAAGTTATTGCTTTATGATAGACACTACCTTGCACTGATGAGTGACTAAACAACTCGAAATCAATCTGCAAGTGTGTCCCAATAATTGAAAATCTATTGTGGCAGTTTTATCGCCAAAAGTATATGCAGGAATAACTTCAGTGAAGAATCCTGCACTGCCAACGCCCTGCGTGGTATTAGCCTGGAAAGTAGTTGTTTTCTGATAGGTGTCAGTCCAATAACCTACAATGTAGGGTGTTGAGGCTGGCCTGAACAGATTGTTACTTCAGATGATTCGATTTTTTTTGCTTCACTACATTGTTTTAAAAATTTTAAATTATTTGTTAGCACAACTTGTCTCAAATCATAAATCACTCTTTGTGAAATTATTAATCGAATTCTACTTCTCTCAATATTTTAGTTGACTACTTATTGAAATTATGTGAAATGGCACTTGTGCACTAGACTATAATAAATGATATTTTCCAAATGTTATTTATTAATGTCTTGAATGCTTTTCAAGAAATAATTTTGCACTGAGATATTTTAGTGTTCATTAATTGAAAATGTTTTGAAAGTTATTCTCAAATATAAAATTCAGGATCAATTTGTATAATGAAATTCTAAAAAATTGGGTTACCATAGCACAAGGAATAAAAGCACAATGTGCTGTATAAAAAGGGAAAACAGTTACAAAGGAAGTTTTGCTTGTCTAGTTTACTACTGAAAACTGACTTTGAAAAACAATATTACCCTTCATTGTCTTAGCATTGCATAACATTCCTCTAAATATTTTTACTGATTTGAACAACAAACTCTTCAGTTTTGTTCGACTGTAATTAAAAATGTTTCTTGGTATATGTAAGAGGTTTGGACTTCTGATATCTGAAAATGTGTGACTAGATTTGAAATGTAAAAAAATATTATTAGTAAACGACTGGTAATGAAACGGTAAAGAAATAACCAAACAATGGAATTTCAAACACACTTGAATGAGTTAGTTGGGAAGAAAAAGAACAAAAAATAAATGATCGTGAAAAATGAAGAAAGAAAAACTACAATCAACTTCACGATTTTCGTTCGTAAGTATTCACAATCGGTTGATAACTGTCACTTTCCATTTCGAATGGTTCATGAGAACCAAAAAATATTTTAAAATTTGTATTAATACATTTTCATTCCTCAACTCACCAAGTATTTCAGACAGTCCCGGCACAAATTTAATATCCTCAAACCTCAAGGTTAACGTTTGATCTCCCGAGTGAGAGGATTTGACAAGGGTCCCTAGATGTCGACAGTAACTTGCTTTACACCACAAAGCAAAAGCTAATTTCGAGTGATAAACACAGCTGCTCTCTAGAGACATATATTTACCTTTGTAAAATGCCCATAGGAAAATTTTTAAAAGAGCGCGAGTTCCCCGAATTGTTTCACGTTTACCTCTACATGTACCTTTGAAAATTTGTATTCGTTATTTGAAGTTTTTAATAGTAGTATATTTTTCAGTAAATAAAGTTTCAATTTCTGTCAAATAGAATGAATATCACTGAAGTTTTTTCCCAACAGCAAACCGTTATTTCAACACCTCCTGACAAATCTATCCTTATTTATACCATAGATACCTGTTCAAGGTACCTGCGTGTTAAGTGTCTTAAATCGATTTCACAATATTGCCTTATCTACTAGTCTAGTTAATTTTGCAATGTGTCCGAAACCCAATGTTCTTTATGGAATAGGCCAAACTATTATTAATTTTTATTCCGGTTGAACAAAATGTATATATACCAACTTTTTTATTTCGAATGGTATGATTTTCAATGAATTGGTGAGATATGATTTTTATGTTTTTTTCTGTCGAATGGAACATGCCTCTTCATCGTTTTAAACAATGAATAAATGTCCAGTAAATTAGTCTGGTTGTTGTGTCAGTTATAGGTTTTAGAAAAGGAAAGTTATAAATACTTCATTTTGTGACGTTTTCAATGGTTTCAAGTCGATTTAGTGGGAATGCCAAATTTCATGATTTTAAATATATAAAAACCATAAAAAACGTTAAGTTTTTTTAGCATAACTTGAAAACCCTTGAGGCGCTTTAAGAGCGTTGCCTGTGCGAAATTAGCGATTCAAGTTGGACTTGAATCGCTGGAGATTAAATTCATTTGGAAAAACTTCCTCAAGAAATTTATTCACATAAACGCAGTCCTCCAAATGAAAGAGTTCCTAAACAGTGATTTCCAGGTGTACCTACTGAATAGAACGTCAAAGTTATTAGAAAAAAAATTGTATATTCTAAGAATAGAATAAATGAAAGCACGAATAATGCAAGTGATTTGTAGAGAACTATTGAAGAAATTCGTGATGACATCGATATAGTACAAATAAATTGTATAAAAGATTATGCTGGAATAGATAGTATATTCAATAAAATCTATATCAGAATAGGTGAAAAACTATGAAATAAAATAACAAGGATAGCGAAATGAACATTTAGTGAAAATATAAACAAAATTTAATATTTTTTTCTGACACTAACCACTTTGAAGTAATAAGCATTATAAAACAACTAAGGAACCAAAAAGTGTCTGGAGTTGATGATGTAAAAGAAGAATCTATAAAAATAGTATTGCTGAACTCATTACATTCATATTCAATAAGATGATAGAAGTTGGACATTATCCATCTTGTCTCAAATTATCTATAGTTATTCTAATATATAAGAAAGGTAATCTAATAGAACCAGTAGGTTATCGACCAATATTCTTCATTACTAATTTCAGTAAAATTTTTGAATAACTTCTTAAAATTAAGGTAAACCTCTCAAGAAAAATTATACGATATTGAGTTTAGATTTCAGGATGGAAAATGCACGCAGAATTAAAATATGTTTAAAATATGTTTTTCCGTTAACCAGCTGTCGCACCCCTACGAACGACAACTCTCAGAAGTCGAAACTTGTGCGAGCAAAGGATTAACGAGGTCTTACCTTTTAACGTGTGATTCCTAACACGGGTTGGACGGTAGCAAGTGAAGATCGATCGTTCAGACTAGGGCTTGAACCACCGACCAACACGGCAGTCAATTCGAGTAAGTGAACAAAGCACCCACGCCGAACCGCTTGGCTACCGACCGACAATTAGTTCAGTTGACTCAATATATCTACAAGGCTAAGGCTATGCATAACAGCACACCTTCTATAGGAGTATTCATTAACCTATCAAAGACTTTAGATACGGTAAGTCACAATATTTTGTTATCCACCTTAGAAAACAATGGTATAAGAGGGAATGCTCTAAAGTTAATCACAACGTACCTAAAACAAAGAACTCAAGTTGTTAAAATGAAAAAAACATTCAGCGGGAAGGAAACAATAGAGTGCCTCAAGGGACAGTACTAGGCCCAATTTTGCTTTTTATACATATTAATGGACTTTTTCAGATAAGTTACTCAGGCAGCATTATCAATTTCGCAGATAATACTGCAAATCAAGTCTGTAACTCACCTAAAATATCTTGGAATCATAATTGACTTTTATCTAATATAAAATCATCAGGTTTATTACATCGTTAGAGAATTGAGGTGTATCTTATATAAGTTTCGTTATAGACCTCAGCCATAAAAAAAACTATATATTATAGCCTAGGCTTAGTACAAAGC